TAGACTGTAGGATGGTGAATGGTAGGTAGGCAGTAACCTTCAGGAGATGAGACAGCCAGGTGGTAAAGATAGGAGAGTACAAAAAGTGTGAGAGGTGGTCCACATAGCAGTGTGAGGGATCTCGTCCAGCAACCATCACAAACAAGTGGCAAGGGAACGAGTGAGGTGATAAAATCAAATGGAATAAAATGTGAAACAGCCTGCTAGCATCAACCCCCAATGAGAAGTATACCAAATATAGAAATTAATGAAAACCACGAAAGTAAGAGGTACAAGCTAAGTATAAACAAATGGAATGAACAGGGCATAAGTCTGTCCGAGTCTGAATTATCATAGAAGAGTGAAATAGAAGGAAGGGAGATAAGAGAAAAGAACAGTATCCTTCATGAATGGCCGAATTTTTAGGGAAGAAAGACCAGTCAGGGTAAGAAGAATATAAGAACAATGGAAAGGATTAGGGGAAAGAGTCAATAGCATAGGTATCTGAATGATTGCAGCTACAGAAGAGAAGTATGAAAAAATAGGTCTTAATAAAAAGGTGATATATATAAGTTACAGATTGTCAATGACTAAAAAAACATGGGTAAGAGTATGCATGATGACAATAAAAACCCAATGGTGCATGGAAATAGGGTAAGTGGGTCTATGGATAATGAAGGACCGGAACAAGGTGAAGAGAACTGAGGATGAAAACACCTTGTGGTATCAAAAAAGATGAATGTTGTAGACAAGGCTGCCTAATAACCAGCAATGGTGGAGACAGCTGATCCACTGTTGATCAGCCAGGTAAAGGAAGATAGATGGTAAATGGTAGGACAATCAGGAGGAAAGTGGTGACAGATGCACCACTGTCAAAAGACATGACACTTACACGAGTAGATGGATAAGGTAGAAGGACAACAGGAATAGGAAAGGAAAAAGGCTACCAAATTGGAAAGTCTGGTTCAACGGGTTATGGTCCAGATGAATCCCTAACATGAAGATGGAGGGAAAAAGATTCTGTGATATGTGAGGTTGAAGCAAGAGAAAGAAGACAGTTGGCAAGGGTAGAGGCAGTTGGGTTGTCAGGTGGCCTAGAAGGTTGAGCCAGTCATAGGAGTAACAACAAGAGATCTCCACAAGGAGTGTTTCAAATCAAGGCCAGGACTCAAGGTAAAGGATGGAGAGGTAGGTAAGCATGATGAAAAGGACAAGACCAATCCCGACTGAAAGCATCAACAGCCAGGGCCGAAGGTGATCAGAATAGAGGAAGCTTCGAAATAAGAAGGGCGGCAAGGTATTAAAAAGCGGAGACCCAAGAGAGAGAGTGCCCAGAATGGAAAATCTGGGAGTGAAGAGACCATTCCTTGGGGAGAACACAGTCCAGCCAAGAAAGGCAATCCACAATCAGGCCCATTGCACCTGGGAAATGGCAGGCGATGAACCATTGAGAAGTGACCCAATAAGGAAGATCCAAGGTTTGAAAGCAAGATGTCCTGAATTGGGTTCCCCTCTAAACAGTTGATTTTAAAAAAAACCAAAGGAATTGTTGGAATGAATCAGAAAAAAATGATCCACTAGGAGGGATAAGAAATGGAAGCCCAATGGACCACTGGAAGTTTAGGTACATTGATATGAGAGAGAGGACTCATCTTGGATCCATGTGCCAGATGGGAAACTGTCAATGCTTCTCAACCAAAGGGAAATTATTATTGAAAAGGCACAGGTAGTATTTGGGTAGAGATAATGAAATACCAATGGTGATATTTAATTGGTCCAGCTACCAATACAATCCCCAAGTAGAGATGGAGACAGATGAACTATTGAGGTCAAAGTTTCCTGCAGTCACTTCAGGACCAACAGAGGAGGTGCAAGTGTGTGTGTGACCCAAAGGGAAAAGCAGTTCCAGTGAATCTATGGTCTCCACACACTAAACCTCTCATACAGAATGAGTAGGATAAGATTGTAGTTTCATGGCTTACAGGCAGATGAAAGAAAACTGCACACAGCTGAGAAACAAGTTGAAAAACACTCCAAGGTGATTAAGATATTGGAAGTGTTGATGAACACTGCATACTAGAGAAATTGTACATAGATGGGATCAAAAGGAAGAAAGGAAACCTGATGAGCGCTGAGAGTGGGAGAGATGTCTGAGTAAAAAGTACAGTAACCCCTGTATGGACAGAAAAGCATCACTACAGGAGATGAAACTGTGACAGCTGGGCACCCACAGGACCAGTCTCAACATAATTGTCACTGGCAAGCTCGGCAAACTTGATGCAAGGTAGAAGAGGAAGTTGTGAAGTTAAAATCAAAAGAAGGGAAACTGAGGACTAAGTCAAGGTACACTGGTGGAAGGTATAGTTGGGACAGTGTGGAAACAATGGAAGAAAGCAACGATTGATAACGAGTAAGCCTCAAGCATGTGCTTCACTCAAATCTGGAATACCTCCAAAACTTCAGGGCAAAGAAAGGGGGCCAAGTGAAGATATCATAGAATGGAAGAAAAAACCTAGTGAGCAGGGAAATGGTAGAAGTGGAATGGGCCCACCACAGTGGAGAAGTAAATGAGAATGCCCACAACATTCTCTGGGTCATGTTGGAGTGCCTCAGACTTGAGGTGTAAAGAGAAGTAAAAATGTATAGTAAAAAGAATCAGGTGAAGCCAGGAAAACTGGGCACTGGAAGGCAAAACCGATGCCAAATAGCCTGCCCCCCAACACAAGCAACGGCAATCCTCAATGTGGAATCAACAAAGAAGATTCAGAATGACTTAAAATTGAGGATATAAGAATCAGATAGACGGGAAGGGCAAGGCTCGAGGTTATGGGAATATAATTAATTGGTCAAGGTAAACAAAATTAGTTAGGGTTACGACTGAGAAGTAGAGAATTAGAATAATAACAAAAGAGGTGACAGGATACTAGTCAAGAATAAAGTATTCATATGTATGTTTAAGGGATTACTGACAAATGCCTTGTTTACACAAATGTAACTTGTAGTCCAGAAATAATACATGAGTCTACAATTGGAATAGCAAGCTGAAAAAACAAATTTTGTGGATTGTCTGTGTTCTTAAATTCAAACGTTTCAGTAATAATATAATACCTGAGGGATAATAAAGGGTTCCTTGGCTGTCTCATTAATTTTATCCAAATCAATTAGCCTATATCAAGCCTTAACAAACCATGTACTCACCAAGCTCTCCCTTGAACTCTCCCAATCCTGTTGTGTCTGTCAATCTAAAGGCAATCTATCCCCAAAACTGAACACTGTTTTATGTTTAAATAGCCTAATTTACAGATGATTTCTATTTTGTGGAACCTTGAACCTATGTCCCCTAGTCTACCACTCTTAATATTAAACACAAAAAATATGATGCATCAATTTCACCTACTCCCTTTATAATTTTGAAAACTTCAGTTAGATAATTTAGCCTTTCTTTTCTCATGAGAAAATTATTTCAAGGTCTTTAACCTGTCCTCATATGATAATCAGCCCTTCCTTTCCAACAACTCAATAACCATTTTGCAGCAGGTAAGCAAATGATCAGTATCTGAGAGATCTGAAAATTACAAGGCCAGTACATCCAGTAGGATTTCCATCACAAAGTGAGATAATGGAAGTTTCTTCAACTACAGAAGATCAAATTATATTACTTAGGTATATTATTTTCTGTTCTTTTTATACAAAATTATGAGAATGCAACACTAAAACATCAATTCATTAATGAGGCTGCATCAGTCCACTGCCTGGTGAAAAAACTGTGCTATTTCTGTGACTTAAATTCAAGTACAAAAGTATATGAATCACAATTTCAATTCATACAGATGTAAAAAACATTCCCAACATACATGAAAAGAACAATTTGCTACATTATTAGAACTTGTTTGACACATGTTTTGAGTTTGCTGCTTCTTAAAGATGTATTAAAAATGTTTAAGTGAATAACAAGAAAAACACAAAACATTATGTAAAAATAAAAATTGATCCATTCCTCTGTAACCATTATTTTACAAATATCATGGGCTATGCAGGAGATGTATACAGAGATATGACAAATGGTTTAAAGCCAGTAATTCAAAGTTTCATTCAAAATACACTGTCTTGTAACCATGGCTCTGCTTCAACTTTGCCTATACACTATCTAGTGACTGTGCTTCTGCTACAACTTGGTAGCAAATTTCATGTGCACAGTCATTGGTTAAAAACAGTTCAGCTGACAAATTGTGGTAAAGTAACTGAATTTAATTTCAGTGTTATGAATTAATATTGCAGCAGTTACAATAACTTCAAAAACAGAGTAATGGATATAAATCTATGTATAATGTGGATCTGTGTAGCACTCACACAATGCTGAGTGATGCTAAAGTGTTTCAATCAAAGTGTTGTTCAGTCAGAGAAAATATAACAAAAACATGCTCACTTATTTTTAGATCACATTTAATTGCTCCAGTAACAGCCACTAAGAACAAACAGATGTTTTGCTGGATATTTCTTTTATATTTATCTACAAATGTTCCATTACACACAATATTGTCCTTTATATATTTTCTGTAAAGTTTAGGTCTATGGTCAGCAACAGAAATTTCCCATGCATGGATATCATCAGCCTTATATCCAAGATCTTGATACTCAAAGAAGTAAAAATTCAAAACAAGCGCAGCATGATTGGAGAATGTACTGGTTATTTTAACTTATAATTTAAGAGTTCCTAACCTATGCATTTTCACAACTAAGACAAGCTAACAACAATGGAGCATCCATGCTTGAGAAACTAACAATTGTTTTTACAAAAGCTGCAAGGAATTTAGTTCAAAGCAAAAGAAAATTTCCTGTGCGACAGAAACTGATATGCCTACCTTCACCAACTCAGAAATGACCCGAGGGCATGGACCGCCAAACAAGGTCAGATTTCTGCCAAAAGTCAGAAGATTTTTATCTGCGATTACAGAAAGGAACTCAAGACTGAACACAATACTATAAATGAGGCCTAACCAGAGATCTGTAAAAAGAAACGATAAACTTCTTTGATTTATATTCAAAATCCTTGTAGATACAACCCTAAAATCTTATTTACTTTCCCACTTGCAACAGTACGCTAACTAGGATTAAGAAACTAAATGACCAAAAACATCAAGCAAGATTCTTTTCTTCCAAAACACTACTAAGTTGATTTCCATCAAGGTGTTAATTATAGCTTAAATTAGGGTAGCCCACATGCATTACTTTGCACATAACATAGTTAAATGCCATCTGCCATTTATATGCCAAATGATCCAAATCCATTTATAAAACAACAGTATCATCCTCACAGCCAACTACACCCAAAATATTAACATTACCATCAAAATTGACCAAATTGTTGAACAATTTGTTATCACTACCAACTCCAATCTAATTGACACCATTTATTACAACTCTGCTTCCTCTCCTCTAACAAGCACTTAATGTATTGAGCTAACTGATCTCCCATGCCCACAGAGATAATTTTCTTTCCAAGTTTTTGTGGTACTTTATCAAAGGTATTCTGAAAATCCAGATAACTAAATCCACACCTTTATCTCAGCAATTCAGTTGTACATGTCTTAAAATATCAAAACTTGTGTACAAGAGCCTACTTTCTTGATTTAATAATTTTACAGTACATTCATGAAGAGCATTTAATGCAGAGATCATGTTTCAATATGGTGTCATCTGTACAATAAAAACAGGATGGTGGCTGTATGGTGTATGATGAGCATGTATTACTATTATTTCATACATGAAAGTAATATTAAAGTATTTATTAAAATATTCATTTTCTTTAATGCTACATTGCCTTTATTTAGTATATCTTATAGTATACATGTACATTTATTCAAATATATATATATATTATAAAGGCTTATCTATCGGAAGTATTAAATACAGTGCATTATTTAACCAAATTTATTTTAAAATATTAAAACATTAGTAGCTTTGACAAAAAAAAATAATTTTTAACCCACAATAAAATCACTAAAGAATGTCATACATATACATTTGACTAAGTGTGGCTAAATAATAGGGAAAAAAAACTCACCTTTCCATGAAACTGTGGGATAGGATGTCCATATTTCCGATATAAATGCACAGTCTGCCACATGCAATTGTACTGGCATTCTTCCCAGCATTGCCAGTAAAGTATACTCATGTACCAGGGCTGACTAGCTTTAAACTGAGCCAGAGACTTTGAGTCTGAGCAGTTTGAGGTATAGCAATGCTGTTGACAGAGTTGGTACGTCTTAGATCTATCACCTACTGAAGCTACAGTTGAATAAGCAAGAAGGCACAAAATAAAGGCAATCTTATAGAAACAGCAAGTGTGAGGATACTTCATGTTGTAAAGCTGCATCTTTTTGTCCAATGTTCTTGCTTCTTGCAAAGGTTTTCCTTACACTTCATTATTTTCAGTTTCTTCAACTTTCAAGCTCATTCTTATTTATTAGTCATCACAGTATTATTCTACCATTCATGTAGATATAGAAATTTTCTGTGGATATTTTAAATTTCATTTAACATGCTACTAATTAAACATTTTTTTGTGAAAAATCTGTTACATGTCCAAATAATAATTAACACTGATCTTCATAAGTCATAAAATTCTATACTTATTTAGTTTTCATTGAAGTCTTTTAGAACACCAATTAAACAAAAACTAATTCATTGTGCATACTGAAATCACTAAAATGTTATTTTTTCCATTTCAATAAACATTATTTCTTAACAATAACATTATTACTCCTTGAACGAGTAAAACAATTAATAATAATTATGGATTTCCTATATGTTTAATGTGGCACCATTTCAATTTTTAGTTAACCCCCTCATTTGCTATTCATTATTTGTACAGACTTTAAAATTCTCATTTTCCACATGTAGAATACTCAATATTTTCAAATTACATCTTATATTTTCTTCAGTTATTTTAATTTTGTTTCACTACATAGCAATATTGCCAGGATATCAGTTTCAATACCAATTAGAGCAAGAGCATACCAAAATGAAAAAACAGTGACTAAGTTCCTAAAATTTGCTGATAATGTTAAGGTCTTGGATGTTATTGATTGTGTTTTACAAAAGGATTTTGATTATTTGGTGAGCTGGCAAACAGCTTTTAATTTCAATAAATGCAAGGTAATATATGTGGGTTATCATACTTCGATTATATGTATAATACAGATGGAAATAACCTTAATAGTATTATGGAAGAAAAGGATATTGGTGTTTTGGTTGATCATTCTCTTAAACTATTCAAGCAGTATGCTGCTGTTAGTGGTACAATAAAGATGATTTTAGGTTGTATTTATAGAAATACTGAATATATAACCTCATTGTATAGTTTACTGGATAAGCCTCATTTAGAGTACTGTCTTTAGTCTTGGGAACCTTACCTTAACAAGGTATATTTTTCTTAGATAAGGAGATCAAAATTATATTCAGTATTCCATTTAAAGCACTCTAAAATTCTATTAGTTTTATTACTAGCAAAAGATCACTGCTTTGATGGTGTAAATGGCTTATCCACCAATACGTGGACCAATTCACATCAGTTTCTAGGCTATGGGGAATAAAACACATACCCAATCCAAAACCGTACACAAAACATAGTAGTGGCTGCACGTTGTACAGAACAAGATCTGGTTTCTCAGTGCTAATAAACCTATTTTCTCCATGATTTTCATAACATCTGTTGATAGAGATACCCGAGGAAAGCTCAACAAAGCTTACTTGCCACTGTAAGGTGAATAAGTGCAGTACCTGCACAAACATGAACAATTCTACTATTTTGTGCAAAAGGAACAGTTTGGCCAACCCCTTAGCCCACATCTTAATGGCCAAACACTATTGAAATACGAGCACTTTTGACAGTAAATATTTTTTAACAGATCAACCCCTTTATTGTAACTTCAACAGCAGAAACAACGACACCTTTCTGTAACCCAAACAATCTCTCAAATTCAGTCTTATTGACTTGCAGACTGGATGATAAAAGAAAGAAACAGCAAATATATGTTTAATTATATATAAATAAGTTTATAAGAAAGTATGACAACAACTGATAAGTAATTAAGAAACTTTGTAAATAATTTAGATTTTTGTTTAAAAGTGTACATGTGTATGTAACTATAATGACCCTATACACTGCTCTTGGAAATTCTAAATAGTTAGAAACATTTAATCAAATAATTGTAAAAATGTATGTATTCCATAACTCAGCACAAATACTGCATTAGATAATAAGACTAACAGCTAGACATAATATAGTATAAAATATAAAAACAAGAGATCTATTCATCCATCTCGGCAGTCTCATTCATTGACCTAAAGTTTAAAAAAAAAATTTAAAGCCAGCCCTCATCCTTGAAATATTTATCAAGTATTCCTTTACACTCAGTTAACTTTACTGCATATATAACATTTGAAGACAACCCATTCCAAAGGTTAACCAGGCTGTTGGAAAAATAAAACAAATCCTACCCTGCAAAAATTTCTATTTGTTTCCTAGTCCTACCATTCTTATCAAGTACAAAAAAGATGATTCATCAATACTATCAATTTCCTTAACAATCTTAAACACCTCAATTAGATCCCCTCTAACACTTTTGCAAGAGAAACCAATTTCATTTCAGAGATATTAACCTGCCCTCATACAATAACCTTTTTATCCAACGTATCATCTAAACCCTTTCCAATAATTCAATATCTTTCTTAAGGCAAGAAACTCGACACTTAAACTACTCCAAATGAAACTTAACCAAACTTATATAATATAACAACTTTATACTTGTAATCAGTATTTCTGCAAGTCCAACCGAAATTCCTATTTGCTCAACCACTATCAAACAACACCCTGCATGAATGGTTTATGAGATGATCAACCATAACACCAAGGTCTTTTTCTTCTATAACAATGTTAAGGTTATTCCCATCAAAATTATACATACAACTTATATTATGGTAACCTCCATGTATTACCTTGCATTTATTATAATTAAAAGCCATCTGCTATTTATTCCCCTGACTCATCAAGTAATCTAAGACATTTTGTAAAACAGCAGCAATATCCTCAAAACCAGCAACACCCAAGACTTTTAATATCATCAGCAAATTTAAGCAACTTATAGAACATTCCTTCACCTATGTCATTGAAGTAAATAAAAAAGAGCAAATGTTCTAACATTAAACCCTAAGACATTCCACTAATGACATAAATTAAATTTAATTAAACTCCATTCATTACCCTCTCCTTTCTTCCATATAGACATTTTTTTATCCAATGAGCCAACTTATCCTTTACATCTACATATTTTTTAACAAGCCTTTTACATGGCTTCCTGTCAAATGTTTTCTGAAACTGTAAATACACAAAATCTACGCCCTTATCTTTATCTAAATAAATAGTAACCTCTTCAAAGAATGTCAAAATATAAGTAAGAAGAAGTTTTCCATTGTAAAACATTGTTGACCATTCAACAAATTTTAAACTTTGTCAAATGACTTTGCAAAGCATCTTTTAGCTGACTTTCAAAAACTTTCCCACCACTAATGTAAGACTAATAACATTTGGATTAGTTGACTACGCTAAACAAACTTGAATGAATATAAAGTTACAATGAAAAACCATAATGACAATATTTTGATTACTGGATAGTTGGAGTAATCAAAAACACCAGTTGATTATTTTCATGACATTAATCAACTTAATTATAATTTTAATTAATCAGTTATTTTATGTGACTAATCAATACTCATAAGTAATCAATTACATCAATTAACTGTGTTAATCACCCTTCTCAAGTGGTGAAAAACTGCTGCAATTTAAAAATCACAAGTGCATATGTACTTGCACATATGAACAAAATAATTGTGTAATGGATATGGAAAGGTTTCAACAAGTGAACAAAAGAGGTGACAGGATACTAGTCAAGAATAAAGTATTAATATGTATGTTAAGGGATTACTGGCAGATGCCACTAATGTAAGACTAATAAGCCTATAATTTAGAGGGCAATTTTTATCATCTCCCTTGAAAGGAGGAGTTACCCTAACCAGCTTCCGCTCCTCTGGAACCTGCCCACTATTCAAGAACTTGCAAAAAGTATTACCAATCCTTAACCTCCTTCAAAACCTTTTGGGAAATCTCCTCTTGTCCAGGAGCTTTATCATTCTTTCAATATGCAATTGTAGTTCATTACATTTTTCAAGCCAACTATATCAACTCTGCCCAAAGATCCACTGAAACAAAATTCTTTGAACTTCCCAATTTTTTATTAACAAGCTCAGAATTAATTGATCATCTTGTTCCTTTTTATTTCCATCTAACAACTGTTCAGAATAAGGAATATTGCTTAAATCTGCTTTACCAAAAACTGAAGAAAAAGTAGAATTTTATAATTCAGCCATCTCATAATCATCAGAAATTAGCCTCACTTCATCCCTAAAAGGTCCTACTCCCATTTTAACATTTTGCTTAGCCTTAATGTATTTAGGGAAATCCTTAATGTTAGTTTTTTACATTTTCAGCCAAACATTTTTCAGATACAGTTTTTGATTTCTTAATGTCCTGTTTACAAACTTTCTTGATCTTCTATAAACCTCCAAGTCTCTCGTCATAGCATTTTAAAGTTACAAAGCTTTTCTTTAATGTTATCCCTTATATTCTTTGTGAGCCTGTTCTTTTATGTGCAGCCACCTTCTTTTTCTCCAATAAAGAATACATACATCTTGAATATTTAAAAATGTTTTTAACAAATTCTCCACATTTTATCAGTATTGCAATTTAATTCAGTTGCCCAATTCACAAGTGGCTTGCATAATGAATTTGGAATCTGGTACTACACCTGAATTTTTGGCAAGGGCTAGGAAAGACTTTTAATTTTATTACCCTTCTATTCTAAACAAGATGTTGGAATCTGTAGTACTGTCAAAACATTCAACTTTAAATCAAAAAACAATTAAAAAGATAGCATAAAAGATTCTCATCAAAAATTTTCTTATCTTACAAGTTACATTACAAATACAATGCAAAAGGAGTACCAACTGACTTCTGACAATATTATTATTAATAATAAAGTAATCGTCTGATCTAATGTTAGAATTAAATACATCAAAATACCTAAAAGTAAAAGTAGGCCTAATGTTGTTGTTTTCTAAAAGAATAAGAAATTAAGCTTTGAGTTTGTGTCTAGTGTTAAGTCTATATATATTAATAAGCTAATTCAAATTTAAATTTTATCTTTACTAAGTTAGTGTTACTAACAGTAACAAAAGTAACGTTAGACTAATAGTAATAATAAAAGTAATACTAAGATATCCCTTAAATTTTATACAACGAAAACTATTATACTTTGAAATATATATATATATATATATATGTTATATTTTAAAGCAACATGCATAACTACAGTTTTAACTTTTACCTCAACTCAGAATAATTTAGTACATAATAATACAAATACCATGTTACCAAACATTATGCATGCTGAAAGTCATCAATAGAGGGCTTTGGTTGTTCAAAATCATAGATATGATATTTGTAAATAATTGAACAGGAAAAAGATTAATAAAATCAGTCATTTTTGAAGAGAGTTGTTTTGTCCTGCACATATTTTTTTCTGTGAAATTTCTTGGTTAAATCTACTTATTCTAATAAAAATGTCGCATTGACATTACTTCACAATAAAATAAATTATAAAAGAACACATCATTTTAAAATGTATGGTTTCAACGCCACCTTCGCATGGCCTGGTGGTTAGAGTGCTTGACTCGAATTCAAGAGGTCGCATGTTCGAATCACATTCCTGAATATGCTCGTCTGTTCAGCTGTGGAGGCGATATAATGTTACGGCAACTCACACTTCACTTTAGGGACGGTTAACACAGATAACCCTCAAGTAGCTTTTCGCAAAGTTCAATGAAACACACAAACAATTTCAACACCAAAAGCTGGAAAAGCAATAGTAATCGATATGGCAAAAAGTCCTTTTCATGGGTTTTAGATTAATTTCTAGTACTTCACCAGCTTTTGTCGTTTAAACCGTAAATTTTAAAGTTTTTAAGATATATAAATAGTGTTTCAGCTAATCTTTCGTCTCTCATTGTCAATCCCAACTGCTGAGTTCAAGTATTGAACGAAAGGCATCTTGTGGGAGATAAAAGATACGACAGAAATGCAGTTTTCATATGTTTCTAATTTTGAATCCGCAATGGACAGATTAAGAGGAATGTGGAGAAAAAATATCTGCAGTTAACGCGATTTTTATCACAAACAACTTTATTGCGATTTCAGAACATTGTAATCACTTTAAAACAGTTTCAGTTGTTTCCCAACACTATAACATTTTCTGCGCCACTCCTCACGTGATTCCCACTCATCTTCCGGGTTCAAGCATGGTCGTTTTGTCGGTAACGTTCCCATTGTGCCATTATTTTAGCAAGTATCCTGAGCATGTAAAGAAAACATTCAATACCTATGAATCTCAGAGTGTATACAAGTTCAACCAAAAGCTCTAAAGTACAAGTATTTTTCCCCATAAATTTCTCAATAGCTCTTCACGCAACATCAATGGCAATGAAATAGAAAGTTTATATTTGCTTGTTAAGTTTCACGCAAAAATACCCAAGTGTTATCTGTGCTATCCGTCCATAATTTTGAAGTGATAAACGAGAAAGAATGCAGTTACTCAACATTACCTACCAACAACAGTTGGGATACTCTTTATCAACGAACAATGAAATTGGCTTTTATAATATTGTTACGACAGCGGAAGTCACGTGACGCTTTTCACACGTCATGAGCTTCTAGAAACTTCATGTCCCTTCGTGAAGCCTCGAGTGTTTACTAGATTTTCAGTATTCTTGTATATAAGACCGCCAAGAAGTGACGGCAACAATGTAATTGAATTGCAGACAGAGATAGAGATGACAATTGAGTCAAGCGCGTGAATCGTTCGTTCATTGTGAATTATAGCGTTTGTTTAAGCGTGACTGTGGAAATTAAGTGTATTGCAAAGTTGTATTGAGAAAGAATAAACTATTTTTATTTAAGAAAGGACTTGTATCGCTAAACATTCTTCGGAAAGCATTTTTACGGAAAATTAACCAACGAACACAGAGGCGTAACAATATTGTTACGTCTATGTTCGTTTGTTAATTTCCGTAAGAATTCTTTCCAAAGAACATCAGCGATATAAGTCCTTCCTTAAATAAAACTAGTTTATTCTTTCTCAATACAACTTTGCAATACACTTAATTTCCACAGTCACTTTAACTTAAACACACGCTATAATTTACAACGATTCACACATTTTACTTACGGTCACTACCGCTCACTTGACTCAATTATCTGTCTCTATATCCCTCTTCATTCTGCTATTATTCATGCCGTCACTCCTCCTCTCCGCTTTATTTGCCGGGCTTATTTATAAAAATAAAGGGTGTCTAGCAAACACTAGAGTTGCCAG